GTCTTTGGAAACTGATATTTGTAAAGGAGACCCAGAGGATCATTTCTCTGGAAAGCATATGGCTGCAGGTGGCTATTTAGCTGCTGCTCACATAAGTCCAGGGCTGGAGAGTTCAGAGCCTCCACTCCATTGCTGGGAAGTTTTAGGTGTAAATGTTGCCTGTGGTAAGCCAAAATCTGCTTCTGTGAATTCCTCCCCAATCCCTCCTTGGAGATCTCCTGAAGCTATGTATAAAAACAAGCCAAACCAGACTCGTTGCCGTTGAGTCCATTCCAACGTATAGTGACCCTATAGGACAGAGCAGAACTGCCCTGTAGGGTTTTCAAGGAGTGGCTGGTAGATTCGAACTGCCAACCTTTTGGTTAGCAGCTGAGCTGTTAACTACTGCAGCATATAGTAAACCTAATAATCTCTTTCTGCATGGGAATCCTCCAAATATCTGAAGATGCTCTTAATTCTTTTGTTTTCCTTGGTCTAACCTCCATGGTTACTTTGCTGTTGTTGTTATGTGCCGTCGAGTTGGCTCTGACTCATCAAGATCCTATAGGACAGAGTAGAACTGCCCCATAGGGTTTCCAAGGAGCAGCTGGTGGATTCGAGCTGCCGACCCTTTGGTTAGCAGCCAAACTCTTAACCACTGTGCCACCAGGGCTCCATAGTTACTGTAGACTTTCCTAATTTCACATGCAGCTCATTAGTCCTGCTACCACTCTCTGAGCAGACCTCTGTTATAGCGCTTAATGCACGGTTTTCTACTTTATCTGAGTATATGACTCTCTCCCAGACCAGACTGTGAGTTTCATGGGGAGTTTCAAGGGAGAAAGCCCTACGCATTTTTGTACTTGTATATTTTCATACTGCTTGGCACACAGCATGCACTCACTAAAAAAGAAGGGAGGGAGGGAGGAAAGGAGAGAAGGAGGAAGGAAGGGCTGGAGGAAGGAAAGGAAGGGAGGGAGGAAAAGACAGAGACAGTGAGAGTGAGAAAGACTGAGAGAGAAAGAAGGAATAAAATAAAGAGAGGATAAAAGACAGAAAGAGAGAGAGAGAGATCTATCCAGATCTATCACCATTTCTCCTACAGACTTGCCATTGTCAATGCCATTCTTAAAATGTAGGACTTGGGACAGTGGTCTTAACAAAGAACAGCAGGACTTATTAGTTCTCTTGCCGTGGACACTCTATGGCTATCCTGAGATTGTATTAGCTTTGTTTGTTGGCAGCGGCATCCTTGTTGGCTATCAAGATAGCAATGATTGTCCTTGTTTCTACACCGCCCCCCACCCTCACCCCGTCACACACACATGAACTGTTACTAAGTCAGGTTTCCTTAATCCTGCTTGTATGTGAAACTGGTTATTTGAACCCAGGGTCAACACTCCATTTGCTCTATTAAACTTCACCTTGGTATTTGCAGCCCCACATATAAACACCTGTGCTGGATCTCGGTGTTGTTGCCCACCCACTGCGTCATCTCGCTGCCTCTCTCAGAGCTCAGTTTGCTATCAGAGCCACTGCTATGGCTGAGCTGGCGATGAGAGCCAGCTGAGATCATTGTCTTGGGGGAGTTCAGTCGTCAGCACAGAGTGTCATGAACAGGACAGGCCGGGGTGGGACTCCTCATCTGGGGCTGCTCTGGGAGCAATGAAGGGAAGTAACTCACAGAGAGTAAGGGGAAAGGTTTTTGATGAAAGCTAATTCTGTCTTCTTCACAGATCTGTCTAGGGCTCAGTCCCACCATTATACTTCAGAAATGTGAACAATTGGTTATTTTCTTGTTTACCTTTTCCCCAACACATATGGAGTCAACCGATCATTTTGTAGATACAATGAACTCAATGTTCTCCCCACTTTTTTTTCCAGTGGAGAAACATACAGGCATGTTTTTCTCATGTAGATACTATGTTATCAGTATCATGATTTTAACATGACCCTCATTCCTCATTAAAATGATGCCAATGATAATAATGCCACTTTGTTTTGTATAACAGCATATGCTTCCAAGGCACTCTCATGAAAATCACTGGATCCTCGAGGTAGCCTAATGGAAATCACAGAGGGGGTTGGTCTAGGTCTACTCTGGTGGTGCAACGGTTAAGCTATTGTCTGCTAACTGAAAGGCTGGCGGTTTGAACCCACCCAGTGCTCCGTGGGAGCAGGACCTGGCCATCTGCTTCCGTACGATTACAGCCTAGGAAACCCTATGGGGTAGTTCCACTCTGTCAAGTGCGGTGACTATGAGTCGGAATAGACTCGACAGCACTCAACAACAACAATAACCAGTTCATAGCCAAGGACCACGAAATGGGCTCCAGTGCTTCTCAAACGCCATGGTTACTCTAGAGAATGGTCAGCAGTAGACCTTCAAAGAAATCCACGGAAGAACTTTTGATGTGTTATCTTTTGGAAGCCTCAGTTTCTTCTTAGTAAAGTTGTTCTTAATCCTTACACAGGAGAGGTGAGAGCTTACTTTTTTTAAAATCTAGGGCTAGCCTTCATTGTATCTTTTTTTTTTTTTTCCTTATAAGAAGTAAAGGAAATAGAATTAGATAGTTTACTCTGATATAGGAAAATATTCTTGCCTATAAAACATGCAATACAAGCTAGAGATTTCAAAAATACCCAAAGAAAAGATCCCTTGGGTTGGATTACCAGCGATTTGTCTATTTGATTGGTTCAACCAAAGAAACAGACCTTGGAATGATTTATTAATTGTATTGCTTTAATGTGTTCTAATTTATCAGAGTCTCTTTATTTTGTTTCTTGTATCCTCCTGAGCTTTTGAAAAATATCTTTTATTTCTTAATTCATTTATTAATCTTTCTTATTTAATAAGAAGACTATTAAAATCTATAAATTTGCTAGGATCAGATCTTGTGGACTGTGGTATTTCTGAGCCATATCCCTTACGTTTGTGTATGTGGTGTTTTTATTGCCTCAAACACTTCAATGGTATGTAAGCAGATTTTGGTTTACTCCTGATTCCAGAGTTATTTAGGAAGGCATTTTTCTATTATCAAGGGGTTGAGATTCTTATTTTGGTCTTGTCCTATCTTTGGCTATTAATTTCTAATTTTGCTTCATTTTAATTAGATAATTCAAAGGTGTGATATTAATGGTTAGGCAAGAGGGATTAACAAGGGCCAAAGAGCCCCAAACCAATGGCACTGTTTGCTGAAGGAATACATGAGTCAAGATGTTCAGTCGACATTTACTGATCACTTCTTAAGGTACTCTGCTAGGTAGTGGGAAGTGGAGGGTTAAAATAAGACTCCTTTCCTGTCCTCAAGATGTCTACTGGAGTAGCTAGGTAGTCTTAGGTAAGTGTAGTTGAATAGAAATGGCATTCATTGTTTTTAGACTTCCTGATTCATTACAAGGTTGTAACATAGCCAGTAGGATTGCTAAACTTCAAGTCTGGGTTTTCTTTATGAGTGGGATAATTGCACAATTAAGAGACTACCTCTGTGTCCTAATTTGCTAAAAACTGGAGAAATACAAAAAAATGTATTCTAGTCCCACACAGAATATACAAAATTAAATTAATCTAAATATCCCATTTCCTGACTTTATAAGAAGCATGTGAAGACCAGAGGTGGTCTAACCTTGAGACTAATGAGCCTAACTGAGGCTGTCACTGCATGGGGGGCCCTACCACTGGCTTCATGGGGCCATGTGCTCCCGTCAAATTTGCAAAAGTGAGTTTTTTTAACTCTTTATCTTGAAGAGGGTCTACTCCTGTGGTAACCACATTTGTCCTTGCTGTCTGTGTTGCCCGGTAGTGTTTTAGTTAAAACCCATTAAATAATCTTTTCTAAATTACTTTCTTTGGGAAATCAGCAGATAGTTCTGAGTAGTCACCAAGTATTTATTATTTTTGTTTGCTTATTTAAATATTTTCCAGTTGGCACAGATAATTAGTGCATCTAGCTCTTTGAAAATTCTTTCAACTGTTCTAAAATATAGCCCAGAAACTGGAATGAAATCCTCAAAGAATTCCCTCATTTATCTCAATAAATATGTCATATAACATTGCAGTGTGCAGTGTTTGGAAACTCCCACATGTTCTTCCTTCAATGCTTACTGCCTTATCAGAGCTGCAGTACATATTTCTGTTCATAAATTAGTAACTGGCACTCGGTATTCTGGAAGTCTAGAAAGAGAATGGGCGTTGTATCAACAGTGACTTCTCTATAGTAAAGGCTGTAAGTTCCTGGAGAACAAGGACTGGACTCAGGAGAGCATTTATCCTTCTTGTATCTCCTACACCTAGCAGGAACAGTAGTTACCGTTCAGTAGAAGCTTAGTGCTTTTGAAATGAAAGAAAGAAGATTGATGGGAAACCTTCCAGGAATTATTCTACAAGACTAGCCAGCGTGGTTGAAGTTTTAGGCAGTTCATTAGAATACAAAATAAGAGTAAGACCCAAATTTTGAACAGTTCGAGAAAATATCATGACTAAAGAAGGCCAATTCTTTGTGTAAGTGGAGACTGTCTTTATTAATGACAAAATTATAATGACCCTTTACTTGGACAACTGTAGATGTTCACTACCATTTTGTGAGGACTGGTAGATTGAGTAATTAATTAAGATAAATATATCAATTATGGAGAAAGGTCAGCATTTATTAAAAAATTAAACGTATCAAAATTTCAGGAGTGGCCTATGATCACTATGATCTTCTGGTATGTGTAGGGCTGCCATGAGGGTGAAGAGTTAGACTTTTTTCCAGAGGCACGGTGTTGATGGTGATGATGTGTGGAGATGCAGTATCTCTGCAATTCCTTTGTAATTAGGTCCCATAAAAGGAAAGAATTTGGACAGACCTTTTCAAACTTGAAAACTGACATGTTCTTTTTTCCTAGAAGCCAATTTATTTGGCAACTTCTACCCCCTTTCTATCCTCCCCACCCTGGTCTAGCAAATTAAGTAAACATGTGATTGAAATTCAATTTATCATGAATATCACGGGAGCAATTATGATTTAATTTCTACTTACCTCCTGCACATATGGTGGATGGTTCAGCTGCTAGAATTTCAATGCAGGACTTCTTTAAAATCTAAGACAAGAAGGAATAATAATAATAATAAATATTGTACAACTTATTTTGTCAAAACAGTGTTTGGGTTTTGTTTATACTATCAAGATATGAAAGTTCAAGGCCATTATGTTGGGTGGTGTACGTCTGTGTGTATGTGGAGGGTAACTTATCATCTTTGTTATTATCATCAGTGCCAAACATTTAATGAGTCAGCATTGTGCAAGGTTCTTCTGGATGTACCAAAGGCTATAAAAATTATTCATTCTTTCTTAACAAATATTTATTGAGTCTACAAAATGTCAGTCCTAGTTTTAAGGAGGTTTAAAATATAGTTGGGGAAATGGAGCTTTCACCGGAAAAGATAAATAGCAAAGTCAGGACATGTGTAGTAGGTCTAAGAGTGAAGGGACAGATAGTAGGAGCTACTGAGTTTAGGGTAGAGAGGACTGGTATACCGGGGAGGTCTTTGTGGACGAGGTGGGCGCTGAGGGTAGGACTCAGTCCAGTGGAGACGACTGGGTTAGGGTAAGGTTAGGGTCCAGGCAGGGATTGGCATGAGCAAAGGTGAGAAAGTAGAAATACAGAGACCTCCTGAGCTGGAACAAAAGGAGCTTGAAGAGTAGAAATAAAAGAGAGATATTAGATAAAACTGGAGAGGTAGTTTGGAGCCAGCCAACTCCTCTGAGGAGCTGCACTTTCAGGTTAGTCAGGGTTCCCTTTTAGTTAAAAGTTTGGAAAGATTTTGTGGGAGAGAGCTCTGAAAGCTGCTCACTGTGCCTCATTCACCAGAAGGATTCCTTGAGCCTTACTGAAATGAGAAATATACTCTTTTTCCCAAACGAGTCTTACAGGGTTGAGTGGAGAGTCTGGGGACCCCGTAACTGCACAGGCAGTGAATAACAAAGACTGCTCCTGACCAGAGCAGGGTATCTAACTGGTAGAGTTCAAATTCTTTCCACCAGTTCCAAATCTTGCCTCTTGCGGAATCAATATTCTGAAACTTCAACCAAGCATTTTAAACAAGTAGAGGGCACTGAGCTAATTTACCAAATGCAGTATCTTTATTTGGGCCTTACTGAATTTGGAATTTGTGATGATTCAGAGGGCTGAAGGAAGCCATTTCTCTGTTTATAAAAGAGGCATTTGTTAAAGCAATTAATGGTGGTGTAATTATAAAATTTAAAGTCTGTGAAGGAAGAAAGCTTCTTTGAGCATTGGGAAACGTCCATTTACTGGCAATAACTGATGTATTTATTTATGTATACTTCTTTGTTCCAGCTTAAGTGATACATAGGTACAATCAAATAAAAGATACAACAGATTATAATCCAGGAAAAAATGAATTTTAGGGAAAATAAGGGGAAGACAAACCAAGGAATGAGCACAGCACACAAAATGTATGCTGCGAGGAGCTTATGTCCTTGCTGGGAATGGCTCAAGGATTTAGTTCCAAGCTTTCTAGTAGCAAATGAGAAGGACAGACACTAATCTATGAGAGTCTCAATCTGTGAGATAAAACCAATCCAGTTTCTCAGATGAGATAATATTTACCCATTCCAGAGAGAAATCTGGGCGTCCTCAGAGAGAAGCATTGTGAAATGAAATGAACAACATGTTTAAGAAAATATTTATCTCATGGACAGATGACAAAACATTGACATTTATTCACTGAAACTGGTTCCCTTACGACTGGTTTTTAGGAAACTCTATGGGTCAGTTCTACTCTGTCCTATAGGGTTGCTATGAGTTGGAATCGACTCGACGACAATGAGTTTTGTTTTGTTTTTTTTTATATACCTGAAGGAGCCCTGCTGGCACGGCAGTTCAAATCCACAAGATGCTCCTTGGAAACCCTATGGAGCAGTTCTACTCTGTTCTATAGGGTTGCTATGAGTCAGAATCGACTTGACAGCAACAGGTTTTATATACCTGAAGGAGCCCTGGTGGCGCAGTGGTTAAGAGTACAGCTGCTAACCAAAAGGTTGGCAGTTCGAATACACCAACCACCCCTTGGAAACCCTATGGAGCAGTCCTACTCTGTCCTACAGGGTCACTATGAGTGAGAATTGACTTGATGGCAATGGGTTTGGTTTAGTTATATACCTGAAAGGCATAAAAAGCAGCATTTCTTCTTTGACAACTCTAAAAATTCAATTTTCCAACTACTTTTTCTGACATTCCTTCCCACTCTGTACAATTTAATGGTATTTTCATACTTTGATTCCCCTGTTTGTTTTCAGCTTCCTCCTGATTCCACGGTAAGAACCAATTTGTTCCTTTTTTGTCAGTTTTTGCCTTATTTCCTCTGCCTCTGGCTTAGCCAGCTGCCCACCTCACCCAACATAGGCAGGGCCTCTGTGCCTTGCCAGCGTCTAAGCTCATCCTGACACAGCAGGAAGCGCACGCACCCAGCCTCACATCCCTCACATGTCTCTGTCAGAGTCAGTCTCCTTCCCACACCTGGCTCTGGGGCGCTGGTATCCACCCTAAGCTGTGACCCAACTTCCCCTGGTTGTCTTTCTGACTTAGGATCAGGGACACCAAGGATATATATCTTGGGCACCGGTGTTTCCCTACTGGCTTATCTTTCGTCCCCTTTCCTATGGTCAAATCAGTCTTTTTGATCTCTTAACTCTGCCATTAGTCATCCTGCCTTGTGCGTGACAATGTCCTAGGACTGGGCTTGCCTGGCTCCTGGTGCACAATAACCGAGATCCCAGATAGCAATTGCCCTACGGGCGTTCTGGTGATTACCCATCCTGCAACTTGGGGCCACTGGGCTCCTCCTGCCTGATGGGCCACCTGGGCAAGTGGCCACCATGACCCAGGGAGCCACCCCTGTCTGACATGCCCACAGGCACAAGTCTCCCACTAGGCCACGTTTGGAGAAACAGAATTAACTCGATGGAGAAACTTTAGAACACAAAGCCATTCCTTAAAAAAAGTTTTAAATAAAATTCCTCAAGCTTTCGACATCCCTTAGTAAATCATTTTATCATCCACAACGAAAGATTTCAAAACAGTTCAAGGAAAAAAAAAAAAAACTGAAAAAAATAAAAAACTGAGCTATTAGGTCAAATCTGTGCCCGTTCCTCAAACTCCACCAAAACATCTAAGTGAGGTTTTCACCCATGTAAATTCTGACGTTGAACTAATTTTTTTGAACCAACGCTAGCACTTAGCCATGGGCTCTGTAAAGAAAAAGCCAATGAATCTTTGGCCACAAAGACGCTCTAATGGGGTTTGTCATAATAAACGCATGCTGTATTATTCTCTCAAAAGTGTCTGCAATTAGCTGATAAATCTAAGGAGTGTGCAAAGGGCCAAAACATGTCAGCCAAGCGCCGTGATTCAATCCAGTAAAAACACAACTTTCTCAATCTTAACTTAAAACATCTGGAAGGGATGCATTACAGCAAACAGAGGAGAATTTATCAGTGAGGGGGATGGGCAGGATTTGTCTTGGACTGTGGCTCCTGTTAGTTTGAAATGTCTGGTTTTAAAAGGTAGGAAGTCATGATTGCACTAGGTTGGATTTGGGGGTTCCCTTGGTTATGAGCAGCACAGACTGTAGGGTATTCAGTCTGTTTGAACTTTAGGCTTAGGACCTGGTGACTGTATGGGAGGTGAGAGGCAGAGGATCCCTCCCCTAGCCAGGCAGTGTAGCCATTGAGGAAGTATATAGACCCAGGGTTGGGGAACTGCTGCAAGGAAATCACTAGACAAAGTGGAGCAGAGCCATCAGAACTCCTTGACTCTGATGTCAGAGGTGAGAGGTTTTGAGATGAGGGGATAACTGGCCCCTTGAAAAGACCAGGCTAAGACCACCACCTGTCTCAAATATCAACCAATGGGAGGAGTTGGGTTCTGGCCCTGGTCCTGTACTTACCTTGCCTGTGCCCCTTGATAAATCCTTTACCTTTTCTGAGCCCCAATTCTGGGAAGCAGTTTAACATAACAAGTAATAGCTTGGAATCTGGAATCAAATTGCTTGGGCCAACTCACTCAGGAGCAGTGTCACCTTGGGCAAATTCTGCAAGTTCTTGGAGCCTCTGTTTCCTCATCTATAAAAGTGGGATGACATAGTCCCTACTGTATAAGGGAGTTGTGCTGGGAAGACTAAATGAGCCAACCCAGGCAGAGACCACCACAGAGTGTCTGGAATCTGTCAAGTCTTCAATGAATGGTAGTTACTACTCTCAACACTGGACTCTGGAGACAGATTGAGGCTATGCATGGATTTGTCTTGAAATCCAAGCCCCATCACTTACTGGCTGTGTGGACTTGGACAAGTTATCAAAAACCCCTGAATCTCAGTTTCCTCTTCTGTAAAATGGGGACAATCAAAAACACTGACCTCACAGGATTTTATGACAATTAAATGAAGTAAAACACATGAATATAGAAATATACAGTTGGTAAGATCAATAAGATTTTGCCTTTCAGACAAGTAGACAGATGTGATTGGTCAACAGATAGTTAATCACCATTGGACCAGCCTACTTCAAGTCCCAGACATCTTAAAACCAGAATGTGCCATTCACTGCAAATAAGGTATCAAGGAAGGTGCAAAAAAAGGCCTTAGCAGGAAGCACTTCTGAGAATGTTTGACATGTACTCAGTTCTCAAACAACGGTAGCTATTATTATTACTTTTGTTACTGCTACTGTACTCCTGCTATTACTGCTACTCCTCCTCCTGCTGCTGCCACTACTATTACTCTTGGGCAAGGATTGAACCTCATGCATCCTTGAATTCCCATCAGCCATCACTGGTTTTGTGCTTAATCATATACACTAAAAAACTGACCAAGGTTAATAATTCTTTCCTGCCAACTTTTGGACAGATTTCAAAGAGAAACTAGACAGAAAAGTGCATCTGAAATCCATGAAGAACTATATAAATGTAATGTATAAGTACGTTAACTTACACATACCTCATTGGATTGTTGGGAGAGCAGGGGAAGTAGCAGATGGAAAAGAACTTTGCCAAGTCATAAGAGCTATGTAATATATTTA